GCACTTAATTATAGATGTGGCTTACGTTTTTCCTGAGTATGATATAGTCCCCTTCCTTGCCAAGTTTCTCTTGTCCAAAAAACCTTACAGATTTTCATGAGAATGAATTGGACTCCTGAGTCCTGGCCTTATTTCCCTCCTCGATTTCTCATTCATTCCTGTCCTTTCTTCTCTTTGTCTTACTCTTCCACTGATGTGGCTAATGTCATTTTCTGTTCATTCGTCTCACTCACCTCTGCTCTGTACCATTCATCTGTCTTACTCCTGCTGTCTGCCCCCAAAATCTACTGTAGCTGCAGGAAGAACGGCTTCTTTCATTGTTCTCTGTTAGCTGTAATAAAGCTAACCCCGGTTAACTACACCCAAAAGACAATATATGTCTGGTAAAGGTATTAGTTATCAGTGTTTTTTCCTGCTCATGTAATGTTAAACTAAAAATATTGATGCCACACATCATATACATTGTCTAAACCATCTGAGCATTATGTTCACTCTCTATCATCATCTGCTTTACACCATTTGGCCACTGAAAATTAAGTATTAATGTAGTTCTAGGCTCTATTAGTTTTTAATTTCATGGTGACATTAAAACATGGGCATATTTGATCCATATGGCCTCCACAGAAGGATCAGCTGTCCCTGGGCTCCTCCTGTGCATTAGACAGTTGACAGTCTTCTTATAGCAGAAATAAGTGGAGTGCTCTGTGACTGATGGAGCTCCTTTGTCAGTGATGGGGGAGCTGCTGCTGGCAGTTTTGGGCCAAAGAACTGTACAGATTACATTAACATCAGTCAAGCTGTTGTCAGACTGGTAGGACATAAATAGGACCTTATTGATGCATAATGCAACAACTTTTCATTGTGCGGTTTTCTGAGTAATAGGATCAGAAAGAGGAGTCTTAGGCGTACAAAGGCACGGTCAGAAAAAAGGATCAGTAAAAAAATACAAAGAAAGACTAAATTAGTCATAGTGTGTAGATTTTTAAGGGGTCTATTTGTTTAAGTTAAGATCTTATATAATACACTACTGTGGATATTTTTTTGAATGGATTTCTTACCCCTTCCTGTTTTTTTTTTTATCCATCCACATGACCTGTTTTATGAAATATCTCTTCCATGCCGGGCCAGTAGGTGGTGTGACAGTCTACATCAACAATCTCTCGAATACCAGAGAAGAATAATGTGGTCCAAGTAATATTGGGTGAGGCATATGCCTGTGAATGTCGGTAATATGGAGCTGTAAAGCTGAATTAAGCTGCAGACTTATAATTTGACCTAACAGTAGTGCTAACTAAAGCATGTTTCTGGCACATGCTCATTACACATGTGCATGTACGAATACACAGAAACAGGCATTTTATGTTTGAGTGACAAAGTGGATAAAAAATTACTTTGCAAAATATCTACAACATGTGGACAGAGCAAAAATAACAGGATATAATACAAATGGGTCTGCCAGCTTGTCACCTTCTTCCTGTCGAGCGTTTGACAGCAGAATTCATGTCAGCATTGTAAAATGTAATTGATCGTGATTTTGGCTACAAATTGGTGTAACCAGTCATAAATACCTTCTGCTTCCCACTTTAAAAGCAGTATAATATTCAGCAAAGGACCCGAGATTTACCAGGGGGAAAACAAAGCTTTAAGCTCTCAGTTCCTCGCATGCAAAAAAATCCCAGGAAAGTTTGACAAAAAAATGGCAGCGTGCAGTTTGATCACCACTGACACTGCCCCGACCGCGTCTCTCCTCCTTCACTACAATCAAGTTCACAGAGACTCACAAAATACAGGTGTGGGTAGAAGCACCTGAGAAGAATGCCACCAAAGCACCAGTATGTGCTCTGGATGCACATTGAGCTCCTTCAGCAGACAAGTGACAACACCAGGAGTCGTGCATGGCATTCAGTTTGGCAAGTTACTGCAGCTCAAAGGTTATTTTCAGTAGGAAGGGATGTGGATTAATATACAAAGGAGCAGTTGCATAGATTTCTGAATGATGGTCGATATTTCTATATATTTGGTGGATCAGAAAAATACATGTTGATGGTAAAGCTGTAAGGACATAGAATATAATGTCAATGAAGCTTTTTGTAGGATTTGTTTACATAAAATAACCTCAGGCTGGAAATTTTCTTTTAAAATTTACCCCCAGTCTTGTTGTGATTTTAAACATTTTCATAACATTATAATGGTTGTGGGTAGAAAATGTGATTTATTTGCTTGGAGAGAAGATGAAATGCCTGTAGAATTTGGCAGGGACCACATCGTTTTTTAGTATTAAACGTCCTCTCCTTTCCGTGTGCACTCCTAAAGGAAGGATGAATTTTCGTGCTGTGGGCGTGAGGAGAGAAAGCTAAGGACAGTTCCCCGGAGTCCGGACACCAAGGCCCCCAGGCCTCCACAGCTCATAAACAGATGTGTCCTTGTCCCCAGCCAAGCGCAGCCACTCAAGTGGCAAAGCAGGGGCCCAATAATTGTGAAGAATTGAAAGCTAAATATTGGCTTTATCTCCTCAGTAATAAAAGGGCCATGAAATTGATTTAATGCTGCAGCGCTTCTCTTGGGTGGCTTCTTACAGCGTGAGCACAAAACAATGAGCAGCAGCCATCTATTAATTAACCCACCTAATCCTGCAAAGTTAATCTCTCACCACAACTTTGCCCGCAACTAACTTCCAAGCCAGTGGGTCTATTGGGGGTGTCATGACAAAGGCTGCGAGGGGAAGATGGATTCAGCACTTAGGAAAGGAGAGAGAGGCAGGGAGAAAGAGGTGGAGAGTTGCTGCGTGGAACACTGTTCTGCACCGCAACCATGGGGACACTAGAAGTGGAAATGCAGGGGGGCATGGCCATCATTAGCATAGTATCAGAGTTGATTTGTGGTTTCTTTAGGAAAAGAGGTGGAGAATATCATTTGAGCTGTTGGACTCAGCTCCTGGTCTGGTAAAGCTGCAGCAGCATAAATGCCGCTGATTTCAGTTGCCTCTTTGTCGTCACATTTGCATTTCTTCTCCCCTGTCGCCATGCCGCCTGAGTCCCTTATTCTCTCCTGAGCGGTTAGATAGTTGGGGGGTAAAAGTGGTATTTCTTTTGCTTCTTCACCTGCCTGCCCATCGCAGCGTGATGGCACCTCACACCCAATACGCACATTCGTGGTCATATTGTGTCGACAGAGTTGTGAATTACCTCCTTCTCAGCCGGCTGATGAAAAGCTATGTGTTTTTCTCTTTGGCTGCAGCTCATCTGACCCTGCCCCCCCATACACCCCCCCTCAGTCAGTCTATTGTGTGAGCCCCTCTTCGTAGAATAGCAGTACCAGGCTGGCTCGGAAAATAGGTCACCCGCTGGTGCTCCTCTCACCTCCACAGCATTCAAAAAATAATCCTCTAAGGTGTCCTGTGCCATTTTTTAATGTCTAAACCACAGTCTCTGGAAAATATGGTCAAAACAAGAGAAACACACACGACGTGCACAGGAAAAATCTAACATATAAAATATCAAGTAAAACTTCAGGTTATGTGGAAATCTTTGTGCTAGTGAGGAAAGCATTTCCTGTGGAGATAATTTTAGGAGGCTGATTAGGCAAAGAGGGTGTTGAGCCCAGAGTGAGGAATCTCATCACCACCACTAATGACATGCCGTTCCTGTGCTGAGAGAGGAGCCTAGGCCCTGGGCATGGACTCGCCTCTGTCAGCCACCTCTAACTACTTTGTTCATTAAGGCCAACAATGTAATTACAATTCACAGATACTGCATTGGCTTAATTACTGACTGATTATTAGGCCGATATTTGTTGGAATAATCAGAGCCTAAAGAAGTGGATTTGTATTTGCTTGGTATTAAAGTCTTATTTTACTGGTTAATCATAAACTGACAAATTAGACAGATTCATGAATGTGTATATAGATATACGTTTAAAGCCAGAGGCTTAAAAAAATCTCAGCGGTGGAAGACAGTAAATGTTTACCTAAGAAGAAAAGAACACAAGAGACTTGTTCAGCCTTCATATAAACTAACAGATTGAAATCTCTTGTGAGTGTCAAATCATCCAACAGATGTCTCCATCTGATTGTGGAAGATGTTTTTTTACCCCCACTTTATATCTTCCAGCTGAAAAGCCGAACATAAAAATGTGGAATACTCTGCCTCTTGCATTACAGTGGATGATTCTGATTCCATAGAAACTCAGTAATTGGGAGCACTCCCGAATAAATGCAGGGATAGTCCCCAGAGGTAGGGCTATTATGCCCATGTCTATGCTGCTCAGAAGTGGCTGTAATCTTTCATCCAAAGAATGTGACATAAACACCCCCCAGAGCCAAATTCTTCCACTAATATAATCAGGGACTTGGTGAATTGCAAACACACCCAAAGTCAGTTTACAAATGCAAATTAGCTCCTTCTCAACCTGACAGAAACCTACTATGAAAAAAAAGTAATCATTTGTAGTGTCGCACTAAATATGATCACATGTACGTCACTTTTATTTAAGATTTTCTGGATTGAATTTATATTTTTAGATGATTTGATATTTTGCTCCTGGTGATCCATCATAAATTATGATGTTTTCATATTTATATACAGTAACAGAAGTATTGTATGTTTGTTTAATCAAGTCGTGATCATGAAATTTATTTCTATTTTATTTGACCCATATTAAACCAGGATGTCTCAGGAGATTCACTACTGTCACGGTGCTCTTTAGTTAATAGTTATTTTAAACATCTGCACTTTTTCCTCCTAAAATCCAGGGAGTTGCTCACGGCTCTCTCTGCGTCTCGGTATGGATCAGTGGGTCTGCAGGGTTTTGAATATCACAGTGGGCTCTGTAAGAGTCTGCTGATAGATGTTGCCCTGACATGAGCCCCCTGTCTCTGACAGCTACAGTTTTATCCCGTAGCTCGGCGCAGCTATCAACATTCTCCTGTAGCTCTGGGGCGTACTCATCCATGTGCAGGAAGTGATGTATGTGTGTGTATGTGTGTGTGTATGTGCCTGCAGGCTTCCCAGCGACAGCATACGGACCGGTGGCGGCGGCGGCGGTAGCAGCAGCGCGTGGCTCAGGTAGGGGGGCCCGTGGAAGAGGCGGCTACTTGGCGTACCCACAGAGCACAGGGCCAGGTAAACGCTCTGTCCATGTTCTGTGTGGCTGCTGCTCTCTCCAACTTCTCCTGCTCTGCTTCCCCCGATAGACATAGAGCCCAAAGTCCCTATGCTACACTCGCCAGCAGTTTTAGTGTAGACTCACAGATTTACATACACATTACTTTATCCAAGATCACTAAATATATATGCACATTTTTAATGTCCACTTTTAAAGGAAGTTGCTCAGAAGTATAATCTCTACTTTATGGCCCATTTATCAACTCATTTCCGCTCCTTTGAATTAAAAAACTATTATTATTATGCTTTTTAGCCCCAACAGGACAACTCCTACCACCAATTGTTGTTAAACAATGGTCGTTCTAAAGGTGATTTAAAAAAAAGGACTCACAGAATCAAAGCAAATTCAATTAAATTAACTATAATTTGTCATTCATTGTCAAGTAGGACCAAATTTCAATCAATCGAGAATCTGTCCATAACATCTGTATGTGAAGCTTTCAACGGATATTGATATGAAATAGACCACTTCTGTAAAATCATTGGGAAGATGCAAGAATCTGCAAATATTTTATAGCAACTCAAGGTGTTTTCTTTAAATCTTCTTGCATTAAGCATTTCGGTAAAAAGAAAAGTATAATATAATGTGGACACGGTGCAGTACTTTTCGTAATTTTTTGGGGAGTCATTTAATATGATAAATGTTCTAATGGCGTTTAATCTGTCTCAAAACCAGCAGAAACCATGTGAACAGTGAACATCCTCGTTGGACAGCATTTTTGCTCAGTGTGTATAAATGCAGTCCTCCACGGGGCTGTGATGAGAGCGAGCTCAGCCCTCCTTCCATGCTCGCAACTGCTCAACAGTCACATGTTAAATTGACTTTTGAGACTCTGGAGGCGGGGATGGGGGGCTAATGTCTCTACTGCCGTGATTGGTCAATTTAACATGACGTCACCCACAGTCTCCAGCCTGCAGAGAGGACAGGATCCTATTTTTACTGCTCATAATGACAACTGTGGACGTCCATAATGACGGTTGTCGCAATATATTTTTGACGCACATGCTGAATATTTTAAATATGGATATAACTGATATTAATATCCTGACAAGTTACAACTGATTGAATTTTAAATTTGACTATTTTTTAGTGATAAATCTATTGCAGATATCTAAAATGTGATGTGGATATCTGAAATTAAATACACATCAATGGCAAATGTTACATCATTTGTCCCAGGAAGACTTATGTTGTGGATGTTTAAATGGCAGTTGTGGACTGCAAGAATTGCAGATATATAAATGTTCTTTTTGAATGGTTGAGTTTAATTATTGCTGCAATACGCTGCAATATATCTCCAGTTTAGCTATTAAATCTTAAACATAAACTTTTAAAGGATTTTATTGTAAATGAGTGCAGTCAAAGTTGCAGAAATCTTATAATATGATTGTTACCTGTGAGGAAGTTATTGTGGATTTCTTAAATGAACACTGTGACTGGTGAGATTGCAGTTTTGAGTGGGAGAAATGCTATTATGGATTTAATCTAAAATGTATTTACAGAGAGGAGTGTGGTCCAGTTAAAATTAAAACACTAACTGGACTTCCTGCACATGGATCGTGGTACAGGAGCTTATGTTTGTCAGTGATCACACCAAACAGCCGATCAAAGCATGGTCAGTTCTGACCAATAGAAAGAGTGGGATGCTCTCCCCGCCTCCAACATCTCAAAAGTCAGTTTACGATTCGAGCGTTGAGCTGTTCCAAGCGCATAGTGAGGGTCAAGACCACGTTTGTGTGCATGAGAGCAGAAATGCTCACTCGCAAGGATGGTTCTCTATGTGGTCATATCACATGCATGCACGTGGTTTTTACAAAATCAGGTTTTAAGCTTGATTAAACACCTCGTGGTATTGTGATATCCATTTATGGTAAACTAATCTACTTATAGTAAAATGTCAGGTTGCTCTAGTTTTAGCACAAAGTTGGACAATCTCTCCTAACAGTAGTGAGTAGGAAGATAGTGTTCACAATTTCTACTTTTCTGCCATTCATTTCATGCTATTATCTGTTTAGATGGTAAACTGCGATCATTTCAGAGTTACATCATCCTGATTATGTGGATGTCTTTCCAGTGATTGTGTGTTGTGTCATTCCTACGCAGATTGAAATTTATTGTTGATTATATGAGCAAACTAATGTTAAATGATTAAAATACATATCTGCCGAGAGTTTTGTACCAAAAACCGGAGGCAAGTTTCTGTCTGTCTTAAACACAGCATTGATTAACTTGTGGGCTTCATTTAGACATCCTGCTTTTCACCCGCTTACAACTGCAGATCATTCAATAGGTGTCAATAACAGCTCCCCTGAATGAACACACAGCTCCAGGCTTCTCGGGAAGTGTGTTTTTCCTAATCAGACGTACGATTAGATGCTCGGTGGAGAAAATCTGTTTTAATTGTAACTCAGATGTTGTCTGGTCTGTGCAGTCGTTCACGGATATTAAGTCCGAAAACATGATGTTCAGCGTCGCGTGCTGCGATACCTGAAGATGCAAACTGAACACACAGACAAGTCGCTTTGGTGTATGCGTCCCACCTGCATATAAACACAAATAAATAAACCCACCCTCATTTGAACTTAATTCAAATCAACAGAGGGAATACTGGAAGGCAGTCCGATGCTCTTTTTCGATGCTCCAACTCTTTTTCTTCTCCGCTTTTTTTTTGCATGTTCAAAACAAATAATTTTCCCAACAATTGTGGTGAACATCACGAAGAAGCAAGGAATGCTGATTTGTGGTTAGCGGCAGCCAGGGGAGCAGGGAAACATGATGGCAACTATTATGAACAGTTTAATTCTGACAGCTGCGAAAGGGATGGAGACAAGTAAATGATTATGAACAGGGGGTGAAGGAAGGACGGGGAGGAGGCGACGGAGGGTTGGAGTGGTAAACAGTGACATCATGGGCCTGTTGTAGGGAACTTAAAGAGCCACGATGCTGCTTTCAGGAAAATGTCTGTCAGAGAGATGTGTCGTCGTGTGCTGCAGGATCAGGAATATTATCACAAAGCCTGGATTTTATATGTGATAATACTTCTGTAGCATGTTCCTTAAATCAGATGTATTTTGTGGTTAATTAACTATTTATCAAATTAATTTAAGACATAAGTTTTCCAGGTGATGGTATTTCTCAGGCAGGTAACTGAGCTTGAGGTTCTTGAAAACAGTTGCAATAACAACTAGCTTTAACTATAACCAGTGCAGTCCTTTGTGTGATTTGTTGTTTTTGGACAGAGTCAAAACTGGTTGACAAATAAAAAGTGTTTGAGAAGATGCTAGATTAATTAATACATGCAGCGGTCTCTACTCTCTATATGGACACAGACAGCTCAGAGGACATATATTGACCTTCCTCTCTGCGCATCATCTGGGGATGTTGCTGCATTTCAGGCTTATCTCACAAATTTAATTTGCACCACACTCGGCTCCAAATCAACTCTGGGATAGAAATTCTAGTGGGTTAATTTTTTTGTTTTATTTTTTGAAAAAAAAATTCATTTTAGTGCAGATAGGGTTTTCGTTGGGAGGAAAAAAGGCTCCTGTATGATGCAAGTGTGGATTCTTTGTGCTTTGACTCCACCTACAGTTCCCATAGAGCACCACATACTGTGCACTTTGTCTACTTTGACCCTTTAAGAGAGAAACAGGGAGGACACCAGAGAGGTTCATTTGAAAACATAAAAACGTTAAATATGATAGAATTCAATTTAAAAACACTTGAGTCCCATGCATAGTTTGGAAACATGTTTCTGTAGATGCCAGAGTTGTGAGAATGTGGAAGACGTTTTCCCTCCCTGACAGAAGACTCTTTCACCCTGCTCCCAGTGCTCTACAGACAGCATGACAGCAGGCTGACGTCCCTCTCTGTGACAGGCTGCTGCTGATGACAAGGTGTATTTTAGACTTCTCACTGTGGCCTGGCACTTGTGTCAAACTACAGCTCACCACAGATGCAGCACTAGTTGTGTATCATAACAATAAAAGCTACTGAAGATGGGGCCTCTGCAGCACCATCTTTTCAAGTGTATATCCTGCATATACATGTATGTTAATTATGTCCTTGAGCTGCCAGAGAATTAACTTCTCTAGTTGTCTAGTTGTTCTTTAGTAGGTTCATTTCTTTATAACAAAATGCACAAGTGTAAAATGTATAACCTTGTGTCTGTAGTTTCCTTTAAGGAAAAAGCAAAACACTTTGTCAAGGCCCTTTCACATAGAAAGTGGTTTGTGCTGAATATCTTGGGAAACTCAGACACAGACAATATGAACTTTTCCTCCCTTGTTCCATCGTGTCTGGTTGGCAGCTTTGTTTCTACTGGATGCTCAAGTGTTTGTCACAGGGCACAGTGGTCAAAGCTCAACATTTGCGCTACAGAAAAACGTCCTTGCGTGGTGCTTGACATTGAAAAGAATGGATTTCAGAGTGCAGCAGTGTTTCAATTACCTCCTATCTGAAAGGGCCTTCAGACTAGGCAATGTGTTTTATTTTGGTAAAGGTGAATCAATGATGGCGTCAGATCAGAGTTGGGTCCTCAGTCTGTATTTAAAGATGGCGAGGTAATTTGTTGCCTTGATGTTGACCCAGAAGCATGTTGGACATCTACCATGTCTCTGTACATGTTTGTAAGGACATTTTAGAACTCCAAGGTAGAAGTAGATCAGAGGGATCCGACTACTGGACGAAGTTTAGCGTCACCTGATGGTTGAGAGGATTTGTCCCACACTTGGCTTGGTGAGGCTGGATCACAGTTTTGAACCTGATTTGAACCACGACAGAGTGCCACCGGAGGATGGAAAAAAAGGGGGGGGAAGTCACATAATATCAGATGGAGGGGCTGAACATCTGCATAGTTAGGCCAGCAAGGAGGAAATTGCTAATTTGGAGATGACTAATGCATGCACCAGCACCTGGGCTGCATTTTGGACAAGTATACTGTGCTGAGCTTCTGCTG